AAACTTGCGCTGCTCCACTTGATTCATGTAGTAGGGCAAGTCCCAGGCATTAATCTTCTCATCAAACTGGTAGCCCTTCATCAGGCACTCCCTCTTCTTCAGCGCAAGAATGTATTTCCTCTCTTTGATTCCCACGGGCTTCAGTGCTTCATGGAACTTTTCTATAAAGGCAGAAAAAGAAAACCTCCTTAGTCGTAATGTGAAGCATGCAATTTCTTTGAACCTTTTGCTGTCTACTTTCTTATCTTCTTTTTAAAGCCCAAATCAAACTAACTCCCTTTGCACACTCAAAAAAAAGAAGATGAAAGTTGAGCATTTTTGTAGAGGAAATCTGTTTCAAATCTGCAGATGCTGAATATTCAAAATTTGTTGTTTGCATTGAAAACTATTTCTGCAGCTCTGGGTTCCTGTGTGATATTTTTTTGAGTTTTGGTTCCTGTTTTGATTCTATTTATGTCATTTCTTATGTTTCTATTCTTCTTCTTTCTGTAGTATCCCACCGCTTCCTTGTCTTTGTCTCTTTAGTTAGTTCCCTTGTCTTTCTAATTTACACTTCCTGTTTTTACTGTGGGAAAAACTTTTCCTTGTGCCTCGTGTACTTTAACCTTTTGCTTTTGTTCCTATTCTATGATTTCTTCTTACTGAGCATCTCTCTGTGCGTGTATACAGTCTTGTCTTTTTCCTTTGTTGGATTGGAATTTTAGTGCTTCTTGTGGTCCTTTTGTGGGCTCTGGTTTTTGCGATTAAAGACATGCTTTTAGTTGTTCAACCTGATTACAGCCGATGATTATACTACTAATTATAAAAAGCTGATGTTGTGTAATTTGTCATTAGTAACTGATTACATTTCACCTTGCATATTATGTGACTGCGTGTGGAGCTGCACAGCCATTCATCTGTCCTATTGAGTTTCTTTTCCTACTTTAAGGCAGTTATCAGGAGGCGGGAGAGCTCATCTTAAATGACAGGGAATGTTTCCATGTGGATGTGTGTGCCAGCGAGGTCAGATGTCAAAGAGACCATACCCAGAAAGTCAGACACGTTGCTTGCATTTTTAGCCATGTTAATCTCCAGCACATACTCAGCATGGCTACCGTAACCAAGTAAGCGTGCAACCTTCGCCCGCAGCTGTATCAACTCTTCTAAGATTGCCGTGTTTACCTGGGGGGGAAAAAACGAGAGACGCGGATCAGTGAAATCATTTAGGCTTATTAAAATGAATGATAATGTTTAGGGTTTCCAGCCTGAGTAGATTCTGTGACACATTTGGTAACCAGCAGTAATATGTGGTTTCACTGAGCAGGTTCTCTGGGCTGCAACTTCAGCCCACTAAAGACATGGGATATGCAACATTGCTTGTTTCATTAATGTGCTAAAGTGACAGCAATCGCTGATTGTATCCTTGTATGTCATTTAGACATACGAGCAGGTGACAAATTAAAGGAAAAGGCTTCCCAATGTGGCTTGAGTAGCTACCACAACAACACCAGGGCCTGTTGTCCGCAGCTTTTTATATCACACATTTTCTCATTTCACCTGCACATGTGTATGGATCCATAGCTGTCCAACATCAACATGACTTGTAGTTATTTATTTTTTTTAAACTGGAGTGTTTATTGAACCTTCAGAAAACTAAAAAAAAAAAAAAGAAAGAGTTTGTATAATTTTTGGTATATGAGCATTATTGCTCATAGTATGCTTATCCTAATCAAACAAAAACCTATAAGTGGCCAAAGAATCAGATGGTTAGAGGTCTTAGAAACTCATATATCAAATATGATCCGCTTGGCGTTACAGGGTATAAATATTAATCATCAGCCTGCGGTTTACCTCTTTACACCTGCTGTTAAAAGCCATTTCCATCTTTCTCCTTGTTTCAGGATTATGGCACCTCTTCATCAGTGGATAGTAATGGGGATATTCCAGGGTCACTTTATACCGTCCTTCAGCCGTCTTATCCAGTCCACTGAGAAAAGTGGCAGCTAGCCCACCTGAGCAAGTATGGCACAAGAGAATCAGTGAATACGGTTAAAGCGTGGCTCTCAAGGCAGCGTTTCATGAGTTTCACGTATCAAACACACCTAATTCGTGCTCAGAGAAAATAAGAAATTTGCTCTCCTCGTTCAGATTCTTGTTAAACTCGATGGAGAGTTCACTGATGAGCTTGGAAGTTCTTTTTATTTCCTTAGGAGAGAGAACACAGAGCGAAAGACATCACAGAGATTTTAATTTTTTACTATCTAATAAGATAAGCAAAGATTTACAGGCACTTTCTATGTGATTCTATTTGCTTACTTCTTCGTTTCAATTATGAAACACTGGAATTAATCTCTAAACTCTTTTAACCTGTAACTTTAACAAACGACTTCCATATTAATAATCAGATCACACATTACATTACCTCTTGTATATCTTTAGACAGGTGCAATCCTTTTCTCTGGCCCAGTGTAACAAGTCTGTCCAGGAATCTTTTTTCCTCAGCTGAAAGGTTGTCTTTCTGTTTATTCTACCAAAACACAATCATAACACTAAACATCTTCTCATACAGGTAGAATAGCAGGCATTCTGCTAAATTTATTCACCTATTTATATATTGCATGCCAGGGAGCCAGCACAGCATGAAATAACATATGGCACTGGCTGCCACTGATCAGATGAGATTACATTTCATTTCCAGGCTATTAAGAACCAGTAGTCCTTGCGCCTCTATGATCTGTTGGCCTCTGGCTGACATGAAGTGTGAAAATAGTTTAAGATTTTCTTAAATGCAGCCAATCCTCACACACTAGCCTTATGATTAAGACTGCTTTAACACGTCATTATCTGTGTGGCCTCATAAAGGTATCAGTTTTTACAAAAGTCCTCACTTTACTTGAAGTGAATGTGGCTCGAGTCGTACCTGCAAGGCAGTGATTCGTTTGAACACATCTTCCCGCATGTTTATCTCCACGTCCAACTCAGACAGTCTCTTGTCAGCTTCGGTGCTTGCTGATCGAAGCTCCTTAGAAGGACAAACATACTGAGGGAAGGCGAGAACGTGGTGTGATGCTAAGGGAGCAAAGAAAAAAAAAAAAAAAAAAGCAACGGTGAACGTTACAAAAATAATAGAATAATAAAAAACAACAACAAGAACAACGTTTTATGCAAGAATTCAAATCCATGAATAGGTTGGTTTCTATTCAGCTAAAAGCCTTTGTACTCCTTCCTAATGAAGACAAAAAATAGAAGAGAATACCTAAATTAGATTTCTGATAATGGTACATACTTTAAGGGTGTAAAATATTCCAATATCAATTATTTTTTTTAAAAAATGTGTAAACACATATACATGCCAGAGTGACGTAGTAGCTCATCAGGTTCATGATCAATCACAGTTTGCATGTTACTGCCTGTAAAACCACAAACGTGACCTTGACTTTGAGCACAAATTGGGTGAAGCTCTATTAGCTGACCATTGCATGTAACTTTGAATACTGTGGGAGCAGTAATCATTCATGTGAGCTATGGATGGATGGATGGATGGATGCCTCACCATTATATAAACTCATCAGGCCTTGGATAGGAAATGTCAGTAATTAGTTCAGGAAGTGTAACAGGAAGACACAACTTGACTCCACACCACAGTCTGCTCAGGTGTGATGCTACTCTTATGCTGCAGACAGTGCTAGGAGTAATGTAAGCAAAGAAATTGCTGCAAGAAGTAAAGAATTTTCACATGTGCAGCATAACTCTCTGTGATATCACCGATACCCGATGCATTTTACCTGCCAGTACCCTGATACAGAGTCCATGTAATGTGCAGTACTTTGCATGTTAAATTATTTATATATGTATATATATATATGTGTGTGTGTGTGTGTGTGTACTTGTCTGGGATCATTTTCCCTGTAAAGATGGATCCACACTGACTGACTCAGTTGAAAGTGAAAGGATCAGGAAACAGGCTCTCCATTGTCCTAGTATAGCTTACTGATGTTATTAACATATAGTTAACTTGTGTATACTCATTAGTGGGATTCAAACATTGTTGGGTTTGTTGGTTTCATGGAATTGTAAACCAGAATACACCAGTAGACTTACATGCATAATCCATCTTAGCATTAGCCAAGGTCATCAGGGTGTTTTCAACAGAGACATTTTCTATATTTAGGGATCCAACGTCGTCATAGACCTTCTTTACTCTGGCAATCAAGCTGTCTGTCATAGTCCTGATCTCATCTGGAGACAGGTCCCACCTCAATGTGTTCCTTGCATGTCCTGCCTGAGCGCAGTGTCTGGCAGACAGCACTGACCCACTAGCGATGGTCATTCTCAGATGTTTACAGACCCTGTAAGAAAACCGGACCTTTTAATACCCACCGCCGCCCCCCAAACGTACAATATTTTCTGTTGCTCCATAGTCAAGAAAACGATCCGCTCGAATAGGTGGTATTAATGTAAGCACTATCTTCATGGACACACTCGACACACTTCTTTCCATGTTATAACCGGTGATATTTTTCCCTCATCCATCAGTGTAGAGTTTCATGCCATGGCAGTGCGAGCGGAAGCCTTTCAAACGAAGTTCATAAAAGCGTGGAATAACTGTCAAGCAGCCAAAACGTACAAAACAGCTCAGCTATCCTTAAAGTGCCAATAAGCAGGAGATGACACTTTGTCAATTTAAATTATTTTTAGTTGTGGACCGGTGTCCGTGGAAGCAGAAGAGAGCAATTTAAAGTTGTTGAACGTAGTTTACCAATCTGTCACACATACGTAATAAACAACTTCAATTTAGTGGACTAGTCCATAGTGGACTATGTTTAGCATACCTCAAATGTGCTCGGCAAGCTATAGCTGTTAGCAGATACATGCCAGCAGTATCGTGCGATTTCTTTCAGCAAAAAAAAAAAAATATAATTACATAAAAATAAAAATTAACCCCTTTCTTCCTCCCTTACGGTGGCTCAGTCCCTGTAGTCGCCTCAATGAACGGTATCTCTCCCCGTTTCTCGCGTGGGAACCGCTTCTTATTTCCGTTGTTAACGCGCAGGCGCAGAGGAGGAGGACGCGATCGATCCGACTCGAGCCCTCCTCATGACGCGGTAGCAGCAGACAGCTGGATAAGACCTCAGGTAGGTGGGCGGGAGGGGGACACACACTGAACAGCATCCTTTAATAGAGTGTTATTTTTAATATGACTTCGTGTTGTTTGTAGGGCTCCGAGGATGACCTCTGTTTCCTCTCCTCCTCCTGTTTTCCTGTCTTGTTTTGTTTTTGGGTTGTGATTGTTTTAGCCAGCATCACACAAGCAGCGCGCGAGCCTTGTTTGTCCGGACCGTCAGGGTGTAGGTTTCCTTTAAAGACAAACACCTGCCAGCGCCACTGGCTAAATTATAATTTTTTTTTAGCATTTATTTGAAATAAATGTATAAAGTCAGTGCAGTGAATAAAAACACCCATTATGCTATTACATCACAGCTTCTGCATCACTGCATTTACGTGTGTCAACACACGAAGGGAGGAGTAGCTGTGCTAGCTAGACTCAAATGAGCATAATGCTTGGTTTCAGCACGTGATAGACGTATGAGGCAATAGTGTTTGTGTCTGTAGCATCCCGCACTGTGATTCTGTGGCCATGTTTTTATTTTTTTGCCCCAGTTTCCCCACAGACTTTCTGCCTCAGTCCGACTTGGAAAAATCAAGCAGTAACTAGCCTTCTGAGGGGCAAGTTTTTTTTTTTGTTATAGGCAATAAAATGACACGAAACTGCAGATCGCCAGTATCAGTTGTAGTGCAACTTTGTAGCTGTAGAGATTTACTATCAAAATGCAATGCAGTCGTTTGATATTCTCTTTCACTGCTACAGAGTCCTTAACAAATGCAAGATTACTACTGGCACCCAAAAAATAACCTGGGATAGTTGAGCCCAGGTTTATAATTAGGTCATAACTACTATCTCAGCCTCTTCTAAACCTGAGAATATAAAAAGTAATGTATTGTTGAATAAAAAATGAAATGCATATATTAAAAGCACCAAAAATCTACTCCCTAAGCCAGCTTCTTTGTTTTGAAGTAGTGCCCACTTTTAATAGAGTCACACTGATACTGAATTTTTGCATTGTAATGCCCGTATTGACTTTTTGGCTCAACAAATCAAATAAAAAACAAGCCGAAATCATCTGCCCGCCACCAGACAGTTGGTAAAAAAGTGTTTGTGCTCATTTTAAATTCGACACTCTGGTCTTGTCTGTCCAAAGGACATTGTCCCAGAAGTCTTGTGGGTTGTTCATGTGCAAGTTTGCAAACTAAAGCTATGCTGCCATGTTCTTTTTAGAGAGAAGAAGATTTCTCATGGCAAGCCTTCCAAAGCATTTTAGTCTTTTTCTAAGTGTACTGTCATTAAATTTACCATTTAAAATGCTTACTGAGCCCTGTAGAGTGTGAGATGTAGCTCTTGGGTATTTTGCCATTTCTCTAAGCATTGCATGGTCTGGCCTTGAGGTGAATACACATCTAAATGCTCCAGACCAGCAAGCTGCAAAAGTTAATCAAGTGCATTTGATAAGTCGCATCTGCCTGCTGCTTACCCTCATAATTCCTATGGAAGCAGTAGGTGTGTACTTCAGAGGACTGCATAGAGTCTGTCTGAGTTTGATTAAATAAGCACAATTACAGTATTTTATACTGACTTATATATCAGTTTATGCATTATTTAAGCATGTGTTTGTTATTTTTATTATGAAATGGCACCTCGTGAATTAGTAATTCAGTCACCACTGAGTGGTTTCCTTTCCATTTGATTCCAAACCCCTTCTTGTCTCTACCAGTTTCTAGGTAAAAATGGCTGTGGAAAAGCGCTTGGCATTCTCTATTGTGCAGTTCCTACGAGATCAAACACATTGTGGTACTTTAAATTCTGATGAGCAGGAAAGCCTCGAAGGTAGGTCGACTCACTGCACTTATGCCTTAGAAAGTGTCTGTGCAAACACTGGGCACTCTGCCTTGTCTCATCCATTTCAGAGTTCTGAATCTGCACAAACTGTACATACATTATGTCCCTTTTCTTGATAGTGAGCTAAGAACTGTCAAGGTAGTAAGAAAACATGACCAAAATCAGGCTTTGATAAGCAGTGCAGTTGAAGAGAATTATTCAAATAACTTGCTCTGAGCGTACAGCCAAGTTCTGACTCAACATGATTGTCCAGTTAACTCGAAACTACTCTGTCATATGTTGGCTGATTCTCCACCATAGTTGCTATACAGTGCTTGGAGACCACCTTCAAGATCAGCTCCAGTGACTGTCATCTTGCAGTGCCACAGTCACTTAGAGAGATATTCCTTAATGCCCTGCTCAAGGTGGGTAGTGAACACTTTAAAGTACTGTAAAATACATAGTACAATTATGCCGACTTAATTACACCGGTGCTTTTTTGTGTCAAGTCAGAATGTCCTGTGTGTTTATTCACTGACTCTTTTATTTTTCATTTTCACAGAATGACAATCTAACCATACCAGAGAGCTCCCCATCTCCTGAAGACATCGAACGAGCAGAGCTGCTTAAGAATGAAGGTAATCTTGAAACAGTTCACATCTGATTACATTAGGTTCATAAATAAATATGGTGAGCTTCTATATTAAATGTTTTGCATCAGCTCTGGTGCGCTTCAGTGGACATGTATGCATTATCTTATTTTGTATTATTAGTACTTAATTTATAATTTCCTATTATTACTGTTTTGTTGATCATATTAAACATGGACAAAGTTTGAAATAATCCCTAAACTTCTACCTTTCTGTGTCTGCTCTTGCTTTCTTGTAAATTCATCCTCCACAGGGTTTGGAATGTTTTATTGAATTGTGCTGTCAAATTGTTGTGGGTGGGGACCACACTGATTACATTTATCATCACTGGAGGCATTATGATTAGTTTCAATTCTATTTGTCGAGATGTAAATGATTCTGTAGCAGTGCAAGTTCAGTTGATGTTTCTCAAGTGCATTTGAATCTAATTTTGTGTTATTTTCCTCATTATCTATCATATATACACTGTTAAGGTGATGGATGCTCATATTAAAAAGGCCTCATTGAGCCAAAAGCTCAGGCTTCATCAGTGCAGTGGGATCCTATTCCTGGCTGTACATGCTGCCCGGAGACTGGAATGTGCTGTCTGGCCTCTGTTGGGTCATAGTGAGGGCTCCAGACACTGGTGGAGGCCTTCCTGCATGTTTCTGTGTCGACATGTTGGCATCCACTGCCACTTTGTCTTTGCTGTTGGTTGCGGCGACTGGGGGTTTCTGGGCGGGTGTGTATGGGTGTTTGCTCTCTGATGATTTGGGTGGCCTTGATGGGAGTAGGCGTGTTCTGATGTTTCTGCTGTTTCTCTGTCCTTGCTTGAGTGTTTAGTTTCGGGGTTTTATTCTGGTGGTTGGATGTTGGAGAGGATTATGCATGTATGTTCACAAGTTTAAAAAAGGTGGAGGGTGGTGTTCAGATTTCTGAACCTGTAGCTGGTGGCACATGAAACATGTCAATTTGCTTTCACCTACAAGATTTAAAAACCTGCCAATGCTTTTCTAAAGCTCAAGAAAAGGAAAAAAAGACACCTTATATTATAATCTATCACCCTAAAGCTGAATTGTCATCCTATTTTTCCATAAGATTGACTGAACCAGTCATGAGCTTTATGTTAACTTTGTTGTTATAACTACACACTTTGTTTCTTTAGGAAACAATCACATGAAGGAGGAGAACTACAGGAGTGCAGTGGAGTGCTACACAAAGGCCATTGATCTGGATCTAAGAAATGCTGTGTACTACTGCAACAGGTATTTACTGAACTGATATTTTACGCTGTTACTTATCTGAACTTAATTTTGTCCCTTAATCGTGATTTGCACATTTGTATATAATGGCAGACAGTAGACAAACAAAGCAGAGCCAAGTGTGATGTAATGCTTGAACTGTTCGAGAAAGTGCTTGCTGACCGATTCCCTCCCTTTTTCATTACCCACCTGAACACAAACATTACACAGCGCTCTGAATTTATTACTTGCAGGGCTGCAGCTCACAGTAAGCTGGGGAATTATACCGAAGCAACTAGTGACTGTGAGAGAGCCATCGGGATTGATCCGACCTACAGCAAAGCATACGGGAGGATGGGGTTGGGTCATTTACTATTAACAAGTCATTTCGAAATAAACTGCTCTCTCCATAATATTTTCCAAAAATGACTACTCACTGTTTCCTCTGTGGTTTCAGGTTGGCATTGACAGCTATGAACAAGTATCCAGAGGCAATTACCTACTTCAAGAAAGCTTTGGTATTGGACCCCGAGAATGACACGTACAAATCCAACCTGAAAATCGCAGAGCAGAAGCAGAAAGAAGCAACCAGCCCTGTGAGTAGAAACAAGCCTCTTGCTTTTAATCCTCTCCACATGTGTAGCATAATGTAATTGGGATTAATGTTGATATTTTCTTATTGGACTGTCGTTTACACATCTCTGCCACAGATAGCAGCTGGACTGGGATTTGACATGGCTAGTTTAATCAACAACCCAGCCTTCATCAGCATGGTAAGAGCATGAGTTCTAACAGGCGCAGCTTCCCTTCAGGAGCCTCAGGATTGTTTTTATTTTTTACTGGATTAGTCCCAGGAGTGATAGTTAGCCTGTTAAACAACCGCAGTAATTGTCTAGTAGAAATGAGAGCCTGACAACCCGATCTCATTAAATTATGACACACGGGAGCGTGCGTTTGGCCGAGAATGTTTTTTCCGAGCACGCCAGGATTTTATTGCAGCATCAAGGACAAGACACATCTAAATCCGATAGCTGTGTATGCGCATTCAGGCCCCACAGCGCTAGATGGTAGATTGTTCTTCTGACAAAATTGCCAGTGTGATAAAAAATAAATTGCCCTTTTATTATGTACGTGAGAAACACATCAAGAATTCCTGTTGATTTCTCTTTGCAGGCTGCCAGCGTGATGCAGAACCAGCAGGTACAACAGCTGTAAGTCGAACTTTATGCATTTACTTCAGCATTCAAGTGTAGTTTCAAAATACGAGTCCCACCGTGAACTGACGAACTGTGTCACTGTGCTCAGCATGTCAGGAATGATGTCTAATGCAGTGGGAGGCCCTGCAGCAGGAGTAGGAGGGCTCTCAGACATTTCCAGCTTGATTGAAGCGTAAGTACACTGAATGAAAAATTAAAAGCATTGCTTAATTACACCATTATTTAGTTGAGCTAAATGACCTTTTTATATGTACTTTTTATACTGAAAGATGTGGCAGTTTCATTGTAAAGTCTTTATATTGCATCTCGCTGTAGAGTAATGCGCTGTACAGTTCCCCAGATAAACCATATCAACTTGACACATTCAACAAACCGGATAAAATGTGTTTACTTGTCAGCTGTAGAGAGGATTTAAGGAGAACTTGTTACCTATGAGTGTTTTTTGTGTCAGCTACTGTAGCTACTGATATTGATCTGACTCTTGGCAAGGGACAGCTGGGCAGTAAATTCCCCAAATTGTACCGAGATTTATTTCAACATTTCTGAAACAATACTTGCAGTTTTGACAATATTGGTTGTAATATTTTATCCCTGTTGCCTTGTCTGGATGTGCAAACCCACTCTGGGGTGTTAAAGTACCTGTTTGCAGATTCTGAATGATTGAAAGGATTTTAAAGCAGGGACAGAAGGCACAGCTGTTAGAGTTGCTACAATCTAACTGATGTGATATTTTCATGTTACAGAATCCTAAACAGACATCACTCATTAACTGGGAACTCGGCATCAAAAAGCTGCACTGCAGTACTGTGCAAAAGCCTCGAGCCGCGCCTAATTTCTTTATATTTTGCTTCCAACGAGCCAGACTTTCTTTTAATTTTTAAATTGTTTTTGAGCAGTAGTTCTCCTAAAGGTCTTTGGCTGTATTTTCACTCATTTTCTTTCCCGTCCTTGTACCTGACCACCTTCAAGCTACTTAACACTGACCTTCAAGCATAAAAAAGATTCGTAGCTCAAGAGGTAAACTAGTGTTGTGTCAACACACAACAAATAACTTAGGAAAGATTGTTGCTAGCAGCCTGTCACAAAAACACAGAATTTGTTCCCACTTCTTTAGTTAAACATATGAAAGTTGGCAAACATAATACTATAGTACAATAGTATAATACTATTACTATATAGTGTTATAGGGCAGCACAGTGGTGCTGACTTAGTGTGCAATACACATATTGGTACAATATCATACATATTGTGAAGAGACATGACCAGGCAACAGGCATTATTTTTTTTAAGAACAGAACAATTCGTCGTGCTGTTCCTGTTCTCGTTGAAAAGAATTCAGCTAAGTTATCTTTCTCTCAGAGGACAACAGTTTGCCCAGCAGATCCAGCAGCAGAACCCAGAGCTCATTGAACAGCTGAGGAACCACATCCG